TAAGGAAGTCTGTATCTGAAAGAAAATCAGCAGCACACCTATATGTAATGCAATATTAATACTAAAACATTTTTTTGTTTTGTTTCTTAGATATTGTCTTTCCAGCCCTAGACATTCTTAGATTGTCTGTCAGGCATCCCACTGTGAATGAGAACTTCTGCAATGAAAAGGATCACGTACATCTTGCCATCCTCCTTAAATTTCTGAACCCTAAAGGAAAGCAAGCAAACCAGCTGTTGGCACTTAGAGCTCTTTGCAATTGTTTTGTCAGCCAGGCAGGCCAGAAGCTCATGATGGAACACAGGGGTGAAATAATGACACAAGCAATAGAAACAAAATCAGGCAATAAGAACATCCACATTGCACTTGCCACACTGACACTGAACTATGCTGTGTGTTTACATAAAGACAACAATATTGAGGGCAAAGCTCAGTGTTTATCAGTAATCAGCACAGTTATGGAAGTTGTTCAAGATCTTGAAGCTGTTTTTAGACTGCTTGTGGCTCTTGGGACGCTGATCAGTGATGATACAAATGCTGTGCAATTAGCTAAGGCTCTTGGAGTTGATTCTCAAGTAAAAAAGTATGCCTCTGTATCAGAGCCGGCTAAAGTAAAGGAATGCTGTAGGTTTGTGCTTAATCTGCTATAATTATTTTTCTTCGCACTTGGGAAACACTGTATGCAGAAAAAAGATGCTTTTGTTCCTATTTTGTGACAAACTACAATTGAGAAAACACTGGGGATGAATTACACTTGGTTTGTTGCAAGACACAGAGCAAATAAAACTTTTTACACTCTTTGTCATTTGACTGCTTTTCTGAGGTCTGTAGTGCATAGGATCTTCACAGGAAGTCCTTTTGATGTAGCTCGGATCAAAATAGATCACCAAGAAGTCAGACAATCTTGTAATTAAAGGTTACCTCGATGGCAATGTAGGAACTGGCTGTGATTCAGTGACCATTAACTCCCAGCATTCACCTCAGGAATATTTCTGCTTTTCCGCACGAGCATTTTTCTTGACTCTTCTTTTTCTTTTTTGGTCAGGGGATACGGGGCTCTGAGAACTGTTCAGTAGCGCTTTTCACATACTTACCAGTGGTTAATATTAACCCTGGTCAAATATTCTGCTAAGGAAATGACATTTATCTCATTTTGCATCTGCTTTTTTCCACTTCCTTTTGAAACCCGAGCTGTTTTATGGCTCTTTAACCTAGAACTAGGTGACTTTTTGAGGGGTGGAATCTTTAATTGTCATGTAGATGTTGCACTTCACTGATAAAGTGAGTATCTTGTAGCTTGTAAAATGGCTTGAAGTTCTACAATAGCTTTTAATTTCTAATGACAGGGATACTCCACCATTTGATAGCGAGTATCTCATCCCAAAGCATGTTACATAACAGGTGATTAAAATGAAATAAAAAGTAGTTTTTGGGAGAGAAATTCAGGTGCAGAGAACATACTGAAGAGCATAAACTGGAAGAGACTTCCTAGAGGTGGTTGATACCCCAGGCCTGTCCCTGTTTAAGGGGCATTTAGAAAATGCCCTCAATTTTAGCTTTAACAGCATTAACTTTTGGTCAGCTATAAAGTGGTCAGGCAGTTGGCTAGATGATCATAATAGGTCCCTTAGAACTCAAATACTCTATTCTAAACTGTACAGATGTAAAGTCAAGTTTTACGAAGTAGCTTTAACGTAGTAACTGTGGTGACTGTGAAAAGGGAAAATAACATTTTACAGCTATTTGAGCAGATCAAGATGTTCAGCTCAAAAGGGGATATGATTTCCTACAAATGTTACACTGGTTTAGAATTAGGATGCAATCAAGATGGTCAATGTTCAAGTTACATTTTTCATTTGACTAATAGAGTGGAAAACATGAAAAAAAATTGGCAAGATTTTCAGACACACGAGCTCTTCGTCACAGTACCTGTCTGCCTCATTTGTGCTAGGTGTGAAGGATCGTGTAACCAAGAGCTCTAACTTTTTTTGCTCCATCCAGTGAACTGTGAGTTACTTCCAGCAGACCTTGTTTCTTGGACGCTTAGTTGCACACTTGCAGTGTTACAATTCTGATAGATTTTCTGATACATATCCTGACAGTCTTGATTACAGCTTTAGTCACAGGCTTTCTTATTCAGTGCATCACAGGTTCATGTATAAGGCAGTCCAAAAGATTACTCATGATTTACAGTGCTAAACAATAGATCAGCCTCTTCTTGGGAAAGTATCTAAGAGGCTATCTTTAGGAAACATGTCTGTGAAATGATGTGCCTGTCTATTGAATTTTGGTTGCCTATTATATAATTGTTCTTGAAGCTTGGGCTTTTTAATGTGCTTTTCAACTGTGTTTGTAGACATGCTATTTTGAGAAATCTATATTCAACTAACATTTTGGTCTTATTTCTGTGGGATTGCTGTGTTACAGATTACCTCTTTACGTGAAAATTGTCATGAATTTTCCCAGACCAAAAATCAGTGTTTGTGTTAATAAATACATTTTGGCAACTCTAAGAAATGGTACATTAAGAGGTACTACAAAATTAATTTCAAATTGCAGGGAGATGGCGGGGTACAGCAACAAATCCTTCATGTGGGGATTGCAGCATTGTGTTAGGTAAGATACACAAATCAGGCCAGAAACATTTGAATAGGACAGCTGCTACTACAGGGTACTGTGGTACCTGACCATTCCATGGTTTAGCGCTGTCTGAGGAGAGAGTGGGAGTCATTGGATTCCATTCCCACGGGAACTGTTGGAGACTGTCTCCACAGAGATGTGCAGTAGCAGCATAGGCTAGTAATGAGAAAAAAAAAAAAAAAGTTGCAATACACACCAGGATCTTACAGTATGTTGTAACATCTTACAACAGGGTTTTTTGGTTTTTTTTCGTTGTTTTGCTGAGGTTTTTTATTGTCACAGAAGTGTGGTGGTGTTCTTACACTTTCATGTGTTTGTGCAGCTTTCAGTGAAGATTTTCCTAAGCTAGTAACACTCAGTATGTGTTAACACAGGTTGAATGCAAAAATGGGAGAACCTCACATATTTTACAGAGCAGAGTACCTTTTTTTTTTCTGTCTTTAGATGTATAACTAAATGTCCTCTTTTTGTCAGCATTACCTTGAAAATAAGTAACTGTTACTGGTCTTGTTTTAAATTACACTGTTCTGAAACTCCTCTGTGGTACAGGTAAGCATGCTTGTACATGAACACACACATATATATGTGTACTACACAATCTGCTGCTGAGATCACTAACAACTAGAAGACCTTACGGTTGCCACCAGGATGAAATTTCTGTTTTGGTGGAAGGATACTAAATCTATGGTTAGGAAGCGTGCCACAGAAGAGGTCCATGGTATACATTGTATAGAATATTTTGAGGACACTGAAAACAATTATGTGCCTAGCACAGAACTCAGCTTTCTGTCCACAGCATTAAAACCTCAAATAGCTTGTTCTGTGTACTAAGTGCTCCTGCTGTGATTCATCAGGAGAACAGTAAAAAGTATGTTTGAGAGAGTTCAAGAGCCCCTTGGTGAGAAACTGTGTCTTCTGCTATGAATTCAAAGCTTCTCAGTAGATGATATAATCATTATTTTGGCATCTTTTTCCAAGCTAGAATGGAAGCTCATAGAACAGCAAATAACATGTAGTAGCACTTTACATTAAACTTTTCTCAGTAGGCCTGATTTAGGTTGTATGAAAGGGAAGTACTTGGGATCTGCTTAGACCATCACTCAACATACAATATGAAATGTCTTACTAGGGAACTGAATGAGGAATCAAAACTGACTTAGGTGAACACCAGCTGCTGTACTTGCCAAAACAAATGGAGACTACAGACACTTAACTGGGGATATATAAATTGCAAGATTTCCATAATTGTTTATTATGATGGACCTTGCCCTCCCCAAGGTCTGATCTTAAGCAGACTTTTAAAATCTACTCAGTCATGCTCAGGTTGCAGGCAGAAATAGACTACAGTCTGCAAACCTATTTCATTAAAAGCATTAAACTATACATCCATGAATTGTTGGATGCAGTCTCTCCTCTATGATGTAATACACTAAATTAATCCACTAGAGAAGCGTAGTACTGTAGATCAATACTAAAGGGGTAACTAAATGATTTAGGAAATGTTACTATCTGCTGGTTCTAATTCTGTGAAGTTCTTTGTTTAAAAATATTTAGTTAAGCAGTCTTAGCTGATCACTTACTATATCCTATGATCATTTTCCCTTTTTTTCCTCACTCTCCTTTAAAGTATCAACAAATCCAAAGTCTTGCAACAGCAGACATTTCTCATCTTTTAATAATGTGTGCTGAATAGATTGTGAAATTAAATGTTCAGCAGCAAGATCATAGAATCATAGAACGATTTGGGTTGGGAGGTACCTTAAAGATCATCTAGTTCCAACCCCTCTGTCACAAGCAGGGATGCCTTCCACTAGACCAGGTTGCTCAAACCCCATTCAACATGGCCTTGCATATGCAACCGTATAAATATATATATGTATTTATACATATGTATGTATACATTTATATGTATATGTATAAATATATATATATTTATATATATGTATACATATATATGTATATGGCAACTGCAGCCAAAAAGAGGAGAACCTGTGAAAGCAACAGCCCTGCAGACATCCACGTCAGTGCAGAAGGAGGGCAGGAGGTGTTCCAGGTGCCAGAGCAGAAATTCCGCTGCAGCCCATGGTGCAGCCCATGGTGAGGCTGCTGAGCCCCTGCAGCCCGTGGAGGTTAAACCGTCCCTACGAAGGGTCAAAGATACTTTTGTAAACGGGTGGCCTGCCTACGTTTGCGAACAGTTGTATCCCCACCTGGCTACCCGAAAAACATTACAGAAAGATCCCAAGACCGCTCCAGACCCGGGCAAGCGGAAAGCCTCCGCAGTGCGGGGCCGCTCTCGCCGCAGCTGTCCCGTCGCGGCGGGGGCTCCGCAGACAGGACCCCGCTCACCTCAGCGGCCGCCGGAAGGGGCGTGGCACGCGGCGCTGCGGCCTGTGAAGGCTCCGCCGGAAGGCGGGCCGGTGGCGGCGCGTCGATGCGGAGTCGGCGGGCCCCAGGGGGGGGATGCCGGGCAGGAAGTCCTCCCGCGACAAGAAGCGGCGCCGGTCGCGGTCCTGCTGCCCCGAGGGAGCCGCGGTGGACAGCGGTGACAGGAAGCGGCGGAGGACTGAGTCTAGCCACGGCGCCACAGAGGTAGTGCGGGAGGGAGGGGCAGCCTAACGCTGCTGCGTCTCCTCCGCCTCTGACTGGGAGAGTTCGGGCCGCTCCCCGTTGCAGTCCGCCCGTCTCCCTTCCGTGGCGCCCGGCGGTCGCTGCCGTTTGGCTACGACAGTGCCCTTTCCTCGGCCGGCAATTGCGGCCGGCTGCTGTCCGCACCGGTCACGCTCGGGCAGAACGCGACCGGTAGCAGAGACATGCCAGTGCGGCCTCCGAGGTGAGGCTGGTCCGTGACCGGCCCTGGGTGTGGGTCTCTCCGAGGAGATGAAGGTGCGCCAGGACACGCACTCGCGTGACGCACCCTCCTCAGTGGAGTGTGGGATGTCAAAGCGTGTTTCTGGCTGTAAATTACGAGATTACTGATGTTACTGTACAGCAAATCAGACAAACGGATTTTTGCTGCTTTGAAGCATGCTTTCACGTATAAACAGCAGCTAGGTATTTGCAGCTAATATTTTACAGTGAGTGTTTAAAAGCATGTTTCACTTCCTTAAGCTTTTAAAAGTTCCTCTTTCATAAGAATGGTTTCAGTAACCAGAAGTGTAGCTTCTGTAATGCAGTTACCTTGCAAGCTAAAACGCTGTAGGGAAGTTCAGAAGTCCACCTTAAGATGCACCTTATGAAGGGAAAAATGTTGCAAGCATGAATGAGGCTGTAGGTTTCCTTCTTCTGCAGTTCACAAAAAAAGGTGGAAACACTACTTGTTCTCTTTTATTATAGGAAGCAAAATGCAGTGTGCCATCTGGAGAAAAAGTGGAAGAAGCTGATCAGCTCAGTGACATAGAAGAAGGAGGATTAGATCTCAGTGTGTCACTCAAACCTGTCAGTTTCTACATCACAGACAAAAAAGAAATGCTTCAACAGTGTTTCTGTGTCATAGGAGAGAAAAAACTACAGAAGATGCTCCCTGATATTTTAAAGGTACTGAAATGCTCTTTATCTTTTATACATACCTTTTATATACCTTTTTTTACAAGCTGGAATGCTTGTATAACAAAACACAACTCTCACATGTAGTGGATTTCCAGCTTAAAAGCTGCCTGTCTGTTTCTTAAACAAATGCCTTTGACATTTGTTTATGTCTTTGAAAGCGAGACTTTCTTAAGATTTGATGTACTTATTTCAGTTTACTTCTTTCTTCCAGTGCTCAGCCATTGCTGAACTGTGGGCTGCATGTTTGTATACTGTGTGTCTCTACTTGTTAGGTAAATGCAAAAGGAATTTCGTAATTGTGTGCACTAAGATTCAGTAGTGTTGTTCACTAATAGATATGCTGTTTTCTTAATGAAAGGTTTATTTCTGTTTGTGTCAGCTGAATTTCTTTGTATGGCATTAAATTAAAATCTGTGATGAGGCAGTAAAACCCCTTCTTGATAAATAGCTTCTGAAGTTGTAACTTTTGTGGACTTTAGCGGTAGTGTTCCTAGTTTTACTGGCTTAGTACATGTGCCCTTTGAGTCTTGTGAACTGCAGGACTTGGTAAAAGTAGGTTAGGTTACTAGCCTGTACAGAAGAGGCTGCAGACGAAGTGCCGCCTGCAATGCAGGTGTTTGTTAATAGTTTTTAAAATGTTGTTGCTTAATTATGTGATTCACCTGCTCCCGAGTGATGGAGAAGTAGGACCAAACAGGGCTATAGTTGTTTGGTGTTGTGTGCTTCAGACACATGGCCCAATATTTCTACTGTTCAGTGTTGCAGCTGCAGTAAAAACTCCACGCCATAGATCAAGTAACGGATACTGTGTATTGCTTCATCTCCTTACCACCATTCCAGAAAAAAGCATACACGCTATTTTTGGTAGTTGTCAAAGCTGAAAAGCCTACCTGGTGTTCTTCAGCAGTTCTGTCAATGCAGGTCAGAATAGGGAGAGGACTTGCATTCTGAGTTAAGTCTTCATTCAACACAGTCGGAGTGCTACTTACTATGATTACTCTTTTATTCATGAGTACTCTTTCCTCAGAAATTTTTAGTAGTTTGCGGTCTCTCTTATCTGTCTCAGAACTGTTCCATGGATGAAATCAAAAGGCTTTGCTTGGAGCAGTTGGAGCTGTTATCTGAAAAAAAGCTGTTGAAGATACTTGAAGGTATGAATGAAACTTCTAAGTGCCACTGTACCCCAGAAAATAGTCTGCTTCTAAACTGGATTTTCACTCTCTCTCTAGTTACTTTATAAATACATATATGCACTAATAAGTATATATTACTTACTATTACTTACACATATTAGTATACATACATATGTTAGTGTTATGTATATATACCTGCTAATAGCATGTATGGGGGTGTGTATGTGTATATATGCTGGTTTTGACCTTTTAAGCTTGAATAAAATTGTCCATTGACTTAGACACTATTCAGAACACATTCAGAAAATAGTAGTATAAACTTCTTTCCTTTAGTACCCAAATGAAGAACAAAGCTTTTGACTCATTAAAAAAAAAAAAACAAACAAAAAAAAGAAAAAATACCCAAACAAACCTAGGAGTATAGAGGTATTGTTTGAAATCCATTAATTTAGATAAACTGACATTAAATTGTTTCCTGATTCTCTGCAGGGACATCTGCATAACTGCAATACCAGTTCAGTTACATTAGCAATTGTACTAGGATATTCGGTGTAGTTAAAGGATTATGGGTGGATCCCTCTGCTCTGCTGAGACAAATGGTTCATGAACTTAAATTAAGGATATGACATTCCAGCTTTTCAGTACCTTCTTGAACTTGTTATTTGAGGGCTGTAGCATTTATTTGTAAACATATTCTGTCTTCTCAGTGAAGTGGAACTCTTTGAATCTTGAATGTTGCAGAGTACCTTGTGTATTATTTTTGTCTCCTGTGCTTTATTTTTAGTGTCTATAGTATTGTACTAGTAACATGTATTCTGTTGGGTATTTTCATAATACTGTAGAACTGAAAAATGCCAACCACGTGGCTAGCAGAAAACTCACAAATAAGGTTTTTGGTTTTGATTAAGTCTAATTTTAGAGCATCTGCTTTAACTGAGGAGAATAAACTTCTGCTGATTGCAGTCGTTAAGAGTAAGCCTAACTATATAGCATTAATTATATCACCTGCTTAAATTTTCATGTTTGACATTGTGTTTATTTAGGCAAGATTGGAGCTGATTCTGATCCTGAAGAGGAAGCAGATGGAAGAGGCAACACTGGAGGTGAATCAGTCAGTCAGTGAGTAAAAGACAAAACATTGAATTTAAGATTCCTGAACAATGCAGTCATTTTTTATGAGAAATGATCAAATATAACATTGGAAGACTTGGTCACTATATCCTTGACTATGTAATTACTTCAGCTGAATGACAGTGAGCTGTGACTGCTAGCAAGCACTAAACTGTAAAGTGACTTTGTCACCTTATAATGTTGTCTGAAGCAGGTAACTGGGTTTCATAGTGGTTTTACTGCCCGCTAGCTGAGTTGTGGTAATTGAATGTGTTCACACTCCTAGCTTGCAGCAGAAGTGAAGTAATACGGTTTAGGTTAATGCTCTTTCAGTGAGATAAAGCAGGTTAAGTAGCCCGTTCCCACTTAGGTCCGTGAATTGTTTATTTTCAATTCAGCTGAGATATATCACTCCTCATCCACTCTTCTGTTCCTTCATTCCTGACCCAATTGAAGCAACATGTTCTCAGTCAGGGATGTTGTAGAATGTCTAGAGTTTCAAGAACAGAAGCTTCTAGTTTCTTGGTTTTAGGTTGGCATTTGTCAGTTTCATAAAGGCCAGTACTTTTTAAACTTTTCTTAAAATACTTGTCTGTTATTTGAAAACAAGTCTTTTGTAGTATATTACAAAGTCAGTTTATTGAAGAGGTGAACTCATCCCAACAGTTTCTATAGAAGTAGTGAAGGGAAAAAGAAAGTTACTAGTTAACACCCACAATTTTTTGAGTCTAACTGGGTTGTAAAAGACAAAAAGCTTTTCCGTTTTCATTGCTGACCTGATTACAGTTGGTCCACTGATTCAGTGCACAAACTTGATAAACCTCTGACACAATACAAGACTATACCAATGTTAGGCACATTAAAGTTCCTTGTAGTTGCTGGTTTAGTTGGTTCATTTAGGTGTACCAACTAGAAACAAATGGTTAGAAAAGGTGGTGATAATAATCCATATTTCACATTCTGGTCAGTATTTTTGATTTAAGGGACCTGGTTTCTGATCCTGTCTTTGACTAAGAACAAATTATAAAGTTATTGAATGTAGTAGTTTTTCTTTGATCACATCTCATCATACAAATATACTAGCAAATGGAATGATACTAAGTTAAGTTATGTTTCAGTTTTTCTTGTGTGATAGTTTTGATACTTCCTGGCACTATTTCTTCTGGTGTTCCATTTAGAGCTGATTTGTGACTGTATTCCCGTTTTTGCTGTTTATTGCTTACATGATCTGTGAATGGTGTCAGTACACCTGTTTATGTAGATTAATTTTCTTACTTTGGACATCGCCCATGCCTGGGTATTTAAAAAAAAAAAATAAAAAAAATACAAAATATGTTAAATACCAAGTCTCTATGTAAAGGAGTCTCTCTTAAATGACTGATATTTTGCCAGTAAATTTCTAAATAAATTAGAAGACAAACTTGTTGGCTGAGGAAACCATGAAAAATGCCCCAGGATTTTGATTTTTGGAGAAATAACATGTTTTCTTTAAGGCCTAATTCACAAGCTCTTTACTATTGCAAGATACATTAAATGCTCTTCACCTTTAAGAGGTATGGCAGGATTAGTGCTGCTGGATTTCAGAAAGGCAGTTCCATGGCTGCATAGTTCCATGGCTGGAAGATGTTTCAAAACTACTCTTGAGACATGTATTTATGACAGTAGATTGAGTGAAGTCTTGCTTATATGCGTTACTTTATAGTAATGATTTGAGCTACTAAAAGCCTAAAAGGGGGAAATTGTTACTGACAATTAATGAATTGAAAAAAAAAAATAAGAAAAGCAAGTGGGATTTACTTTTTTTTTAAATAGCAGATATCAGAAGATACTAAATTGCCTGTGGCAAGTAGGAAAGTTCCAGGAAAACACATCCATAGGATATAAATTGCAGTTTGGGAATCTACTGGTTTTATGTTGCCTGAATAATATTCCAGGTATAAGCAGTGAGTAAACCAAAGTGAGTTGGTGGTGTTTACCTTTTCTCATAGCTGTGTTGAGGTATAGCAGAATTAAAACTGACCCAAGTTCTTCAACCAAAACGTGACAAAGCTAGGTTATGTTGCTGATGAAAGATGTGAGGAGTAACTGAGAGCAAAAATAGGAAATTATGTTTAAAAAATGTAAAAAGCTGAGAGATATTGATCAAAGTTATAGAGCAGATTGCTTCCTTTGACGAACAGAATCATTGAGGTTCCCCTCATTCTTATATCTCTATCTCCACCCTGATTAATATTTCAGACCCAACCAAGCTGGTCAGGCAAGATATGTTGATGTAGGAATTGTGACTTCCTTCCCCTTAAAATGCAGTGGGTGAAAAAATAGTACTGCTACACAGGTGCTGTCTCAGAGCCTTGTCTCATAGGTTCAGCTGTGTTAGCTTTAACAATAAAAAAAAATGGCAAAGCTGTTTGCATGATAGAGAAATGAAGGAATAGGAAGAAGTAGGTGAAATGGGGACAATTAAGGTTTATATTAACCATTAAGCACAGTGCTCAGTAAGTAGAGCAGTATTACACTTTTACAACTGTAAAATTCCACAAGCCCTTTTTACAAAGTAGTTCTAATCTTCTGGCATTTAGGCTAACTGTTTTCATAACCTCTGTGTAAATAAATGTAAATGCAAGTTTGCAAAACTTCGGAAAATTTGTGTTTCAGCCAGAACAGAAGCAAGTCAGTCAGTAGGCAGGGAAGCTAAAGATGCAAGAGTGAACAAATAGGGAAAACCGTACTGATAAGCTTAACTTAGGTTGTTTGTAATCGTTACCACATTTTTAATTGTAACCTGAGTTTAAATGGGTGAATTTGTTTGCCCTGGAAGAAAAAAGACTTTTCAGAATTAAAAAGGCGGTTTCTTTTTTTTTATTTTATTCTTACTGTTCATTCTTCCTAGTTTGTCTTCATTACTTGTTTTCTTGTAAATGAATACTTTTTTCTGCATTTTATCAATGACACAACATTAAAGCTTCTTTGTTTAAATACAGCTTGTCTTAGTTGTTTTCATGGGCATGTAAACATGGGAGGGGAAAATGTGAAAAGCAAATGATAAGTAAAAAATTTGTTAATTGATTGGAAACATCGGTTTATTTCTTTTATTCTTTTATTGTTCCTAAAAAAAAAAAAAAACGAATTTGTACCTTCAGCAATCTATATATCAGTAGAAATCCAGAAATCTTAAATTAATACATCTGAAGAAATTACAAATGTATTAAAAAAATACAGGCTTTCTTAGAAGGGTGTAGTTTGACCATCCCTCGTCCTGCTGGCATAGAGACTTACCTGTCTCTAAATACCAGCTTCCTGTCTGTACCATCTAAAAGGAGCAGAGATTTAGTTTCTTCAGGTGCAGGGAAGATTGCAAAATGCAGATCTTTGTGTGATGTTTTGGATGGTATTGCATCTGTAATTGTAAATTGAAAAAAAAAGCCTTCCTTTTTCTGCTGCACGTATCCTCATTCTGACAGCAGAACTGGAAGTCCTGAGGCTTATTCCTAAATTTCAGCTCTATAAAAGTTTCACGTTTCCGTTAGCATGTAAAACACTTGCTCTGTTATTTGTCGCTAGCTGCTTCCTGAGTTAAACACTGGAAATCCTAGAATAAGCCAACAAGAGAACTGAAGAAGCAGGGCAAGTATTTGCCAATAACTGTAAATTGCTGTTACAATAGATAGCTTTGTTGCTTCACTTTGTGTAGATTTTTGGTTATGCAGTTCTCAGATTTTTGTTAGTGTTTCCGTGTTACTGTCTGCAGTGGAATATTGTTAAACCAAGAGCACTGTTGTATGCTATGCTTCCAAACTAAATGACAATTAATTAAAAAGAGTTAGCCAGTTCATGTCCTACAAAATGAAGGAGACATTCTTCCATCTCATTCAAAAGATATTAGCATGCTCTTGAGACCTTTTTTCCTGTTCCCTGTATTGACTCTTGAAATACCCTCTAACAGAAAGACTAAGTAAATTATTTGCTGTAGTAATAAAACATATAGTGAGAGAACAAGCATGCTAGTATTGTTAGTGATCATATGTTCTTGTGTATAATGTGAGCAAATTATCTTTTGCTTTGAAACTCTAATATGCTTATTTTTTTACTGTGTGAAAATTTGCAATTTAATATTCACTCTTTCAAGAATTCTTAGGCTTTTTAGTGCTTTGCAGTCATAAGTCCAGTATTGCTTGTTTTGTTTTTAGAAAGGTTAGTATTTTAAAGGTGTGCCTTGTTTTAACATGTTTTGCTCCTGGGTATTGGGCTGTTCCAGCATGCCATTGCCATCTGATATTTGCATCTTTAGGGCAATTTGGTTATCTTCACTGTTTGGAATCACTGGAACAATAGGCTACATGAGTCACTGAACAGATATATCTGCATTTGGCCTCTGTTCACTGTCTTGTGTTCTGGTATCTTCAAACTTCACCTGTAATCAGACTGATGGACCTTTCATAGCTCATTAAACTGATTAGCATCTGTCATTTAGGATACCTTTCCTGAGGACCACTGCTTCCTAAGGACTTTTTTCTTTTTTTTTTTTAGTTCTCATTTCTCCTGGAAAGCGGCCCTTAGAAATTTTCAGGAAGCTTATGAGGACCTGGGACTCAACTAGAAATTTTTTTTAGACTTGGAACTGCAAAGACAAATTTTAGTTTAGGAAGGTACATAACCTTTATGCCAAAAATAGCAGAGATACTGATCTCAAGGCTCACTCCAGAGATTTTTCTTATGTTTCTTAACAACAGTTAAAAGCCCTGTAACAGCATGACTGTATCTTATGTTGTCAGGCTGTCTTCTTGCATGGTACATTAAGATACATTTTTCTGTCACAGAACTTTTCCTCCTGGTCTCTGACAACAGTTACTACTATTGAAGGTTGATATCCTAGTGACCAACCAGTGTTGCAGTTTTAATCCTTAGCTATCTGCTCTTTTGACCAGTACCCCTTTTCCTAACCTGTGCTGCTGTTTTACCTAACTCTTCATAGTCTGCTGGAGTTGTACCCAGCTACCCTCAAACCTAAACTTCTTTGTCAGCTGTGCAGATTTATGGAAGTAATAGGTTCTATAAAGAATCCATGTATGTGAGCCCAGGTTAACACTGCACTAGTGTGGAGCATATCAATGTGAAAAGCTAGCATAGGGCAAATAGATATTCATAGCATTTGTCACCAATGAAGTGTAGTAGTTAGCTTCTTTCTGCTGAAGAGAATATACTGTGCACATGTTTTTCTGTTAAACTCAGCATTTTATTTTTTTTTATCTCTTGAAAGAGTGACTTTGAACTTAACTGTTATCCTGAGGGGGAAGTAGATTTAAAGACTGATAAGAATATAGAGATACAAATCACTATGATCACTTATGATCATGGCATGGAAGAGGGTATTAAATTTGTATGCTGGTTTGCCGTGTCTTAATTTTAGGTTAATACATCTTCTGCTGCCATTGTTTGAAGACATGATGTTGTGCTACCCATCCTTAACCCTATAAGCAATATAGATAATTAGGACAAAAAGTATTTTTACTAGCAAACTAAACAAGGTTAACAAGACCAAAGCTAAACTGAACTGAAATGCTTCTGCTTGGCCACAAGATGGTGCAGAATGCCTGCCTGTTAAATGAAGTAATGAAAATTCAGAAAAACAGTCGAATCCAATCAATTTGGAAGGAGTAAAATGTGCTATAGAAGTACTTTTGGTTTAAAAAAAAAAAATTGCTGACATATGTTGCTTTAAAGAGAACATCGATTTATTTCCATCAGTGATAACTGTCAAGGCAACAGGAGGAAACTTTACAAGTTCTGGTGAATGGGTTTTCTTTATTTGATAATTTCTTTTTATGTAGCTGTTAAAATGGCTGTAGGTGATTTCAGCTGATGCTAGACCTCAGAAGCTCTGAGGTTTCTGTCAAAGGAGTGATCGTAATTCCTTAGTGAAATTTGGCATTGGAGCTCAGGGTGATACCAGAGATGTCAAGTTTCTTGCCTGGATACTGTTTGTTTGAAGTCTGACTTTCCCATGGTGCTGTCCAGTGCAGAGGTGTTCAGATGTTCAGTTCAAAATTATGAATCGTGTTCGTGTGAGGAAGGATAGGGTAGGGGCAGCATGAGCTGCTTTTGCTCCTGGTGATGACCAGGGTATATCACGAGCTTATTCTGGTTGAAAGTCAAGTGACTAAATCATTAGGAGTTGTGGATGTGGTGCCTGACACCAAGACCTCTCATACTTGCTGGCTAGACTAGCCTGAGGTTTGTTAGTGAATTACAAGCATCTCCATACATGCTGATGCATTACACTGAACTTCCTTGAGGAAGCGTACACATTTTTCATTCTGTCTAATTTGTGGCAGTGCAGTTCTGCAGGCCTCTATGATCTATGGTCTCCTTTGCAGTTGCAGGCACACTACGTGCATGTATACAGAGATTAATATCCTCTCATTTGGAAGAATGGTATGGTGATAGAGTTCAGTAAGAAGGCAGGACAAAGCTGTTTATGCTCTGCTGGCCCTTTTATAATTTTTTCTTTTTTTTCTTTTTTTATTTTTTTTCATGGTCTCTCTCTCTTCTCACCTTTTTCTTCCTCTAAATAGCCTATGCTGCCTTACATGTTTCTACACTCCCCTTAAAAGACATCTGCCAGTACGTTTTGGGCAATCCTGAAATGCTCTTCCACAGCATCCTGTAAAGACCCCTTTCCTCCTATAGACAGTAATACCCTTCAGTCTATGAAGTGATTTCTCTAGCTGACTGCTCTTACAAGGTTTTATTGCCAGAAGGATGGGCTGGTTGCTGTCCTTTCACAGCCCTAGGAGCAGTTCAAGCAGGGTGATCCCTCTACATTGGTGAAGTTACTCAAGGTCCTCTGCTTGCCATTTTCTTGGGCTCCTTGCTAGGTCTTCGTGCTTATGGTGCCTCACCATTAAATGCATAACCTAATGGACAAGACAGTACAATGGAGAACTGGGTGAGATAAGCTTTGGCAAGTGACAAGAGACCAAAACCTGAAATTCCTGGGAAGGTGTGCTGTGAGTGCGTTATGGACAGGTTTTGTTGGTGGTCTGTGCTGGCAGCTGGCCTAACCCCACCCAGTAGTGGAGGTGGGTAGAGAAATGTTAATATCCAAGAGTCCAGCACTGTATTAAAGCGGAGGACCAGCGAAGGCTTGGTCGTAAGCTGTGGCTTGCGCTCTAAGTACTGAGAGGGTGTTTCCCCTGGTATAGGCTGCACAGGCTAACTGGAGTAGTCTCAGTTAACTGTGACCACATGGGGGTGTGTATTGGAGCAAAACTTTCTCTCACAGCCTGTCCTCTGATCTACTTAATAACTTGAAAATGGTGATGTCATGTTGAAGTCCAGTGATTGCCCAGTGTTCCTTTTCCCCCATAACAGCGGGGAGATTGAGACTCTCACTAACACGTCTAAACCACCACATACAGCAGACCTTTTTATTTGTTCAACACATACACACAGAGATACCACATACAGCAGACAAATTTTATTTGTTGAATTCATGGGTTTATTTTACATCTAACCAGTGAGGGCTGTAATCCATCCTGCAACACCTCTGGCCTTTGTAATACAAGACTGATGACTGGAATAGAAAACAAATTGGAAAACTCTCTTGTTAAGAGGCAAAGTTTAAATAATTTTCTGAAGGGATTAGCCATGCATACAGAACTTTCCGCTCAGCACAGCTATTTGAATCTAGTTGTATCCATTCTTTCTCCTTCAGCCCTGCCTTGGAATGGAAGTTCCAACAGGAATTAAAAGGCTGTACATTTTCTTTGCTAAGGTGCAGAACATTTAGAAGTCTTTCTGGGTGCTGTGTGCTACACATTCTCCTTTATTATTCCATGCTGCCATACACATTTATGTAGCGATGGACACAAAAAGTGGGAGAAATAGAACAGTCTATTGATTTGTAATGTCTGCTACTACAGAAAGGGAAATAGCAATCAAAATAACTCTCTCTCAAACCAGGATGGCTAAAAGTGTTTTGGTGTTCTCCCTCCTGACACACTGATTGGACACCTTAAAAATAAAAATAAAAATCTGTATTCAATTTTAGGAAAAGCCTTCAGGTCATTACGGAAAAAAACCCAAATGTTAAGTCATTATATTTACATCTGTGTTACCAGAATACTGCTCTCCTTTTTATAGGGCTGTTTAGCTACTGCAGCATAGTTGCATTGATTCCATATTAATATGTATGAAACCAGTGCTGCACCAATATTTAGGGTAGGAAATCGGCAGTTCAGTTGTCAAGATGCTCACTAAATGTGGCCATTGAACTCGTCCTGTGATTCTGGTTCCTTCTGCCTTCCTCCTTCCTGTATATTTCTCAGTATTTTCACAGTTTATGTAACTAGTCTGTGCAAAATGTGTGAAGGACATGAACACTTCATGGAAGTATCTTTTCCTCGTATTTTGTATAAAGCAGTTGAAACTTTACAGGTCAAGGGTAAAAATCGTGAAATAGAAGAAATAAGAGAAATGCAGATACTGAATACAATCTCAGTTGAGTTGCATTTCTTTCTAAAAAGTGTGCCTTTGTGAAACTGTGAGGTTGTGATGTAGGAGAGGTGGATGGTTGTGGGATGATTGTAACTTCATGAAAATAGCTTCTTGATTTCAAAAGAAAACAGTAAGCACTATATAAATGCAACTGAAATTATAGTTTTTTTTCAAGTCATTCAACTGTGTGACTATTTATTCTGAGTTTCAGAGAAAAGCTCCTAAGGGACTACTGGTGAAGATTATTACTCTGAAAGGCCAGAGCATAGTGGAAATACTTACTTTAATTTCTCCAATTAAGTTTCACGTAATTTCCACATAATTTCTTCAGTTAAAGTAAATGTTTCGTAGAAAGTTCTCTTAAACTGTAAAAGGTGTAGATTAAGATATTTTCTTACTTGTTTCCAGACAGGACAACAGTATAGACTCTACATCCTGTCTCAGAGAAGACAAGCTGGAAAGTCAGGAGTCAAAACAAGGTATGTGGTGGAGAAAGCGGAAAATCTGTTTTCTTGCTGTTGGGCAGGGGCTAATTCCAGATAACTGACAGCTCTCTTTTGAACAGTAGCTGCAATCTACTGTAGCTGCAAGAGAAGCACCTTCTTAGAAATCAGTTTGCATGGGGTTACAACATCTCCCTTGGGACCAATTTCAGAAAAGGAGAAGGGAACATTGAAGAAGACATTGTAGTAACTTTGGCTAAAAGCAAATTGCAGCTGTTCAAAAATTTGCTACTTTAGTATCTAAAACATATCTGAAGCTCTTGTGAGATTCGTTTAGCTCTTCATATCTAGTTTTTCAGCTGAAGAGAAACTTCAGTAATTTCAGTTTCTTGGTACAGGCAATTGCTAATAATGCTAATACCATTTGCTCTATTCTTTTAAAGTCAGTTTTGCTTTCTGTTGAGATGATAGGAGAGTTGCCAGTACTCTGTTTTGATATTCACAGAAATCCATTATAATATGATAATTTTTTTGCCAAAGGACTGCTTATAATTTTGGTCAGTCTTAGTATGTGGTACCTGGCTTGCTTTGACTGTAGAGCTGAGGTCCAATGGTACGGTGCTTAATACCCACCACTCTCAATAACTGACACATTTTTCTTGAAGTTAGTTACAGGGGAAGTGCCCACTTAAATCTTTGAATCTCTGAGGATGAACGTTGTCTTGTATATTTTCTCTTTTTAAATGCAAAAATGTAGTGGGTGAGATATTCAGAAACTACAGTGATTGAAAGAATAGAAAATGCAAAAGCCAGGTAGGTTAGTGGTGCACATTTCATTACCTGCTGCATCCGGAAACAGTTTTCGTAACCTGCATTAGTATTTGTTGTATTCCAGTCATTAAATCATCACTGTGTAACGACTGCCAGTATTATTTTCTTGCACAAAGCACTAGAATTGTAGGTGTTCTGTCTCAGTCTGCTTATTTTCATTTAGACCAGCTATATGCAGTAACATCAGAAACAGCTTTTCCAGTCAAAGAGGTTTGCAAATTCTTCTAAGCTATATGTCTCTCCTGCAAAGATCTAACATTATTTGCTTCCTGCAGCTCCTGTTTTGCAGTTCAGAATGTTGTCTACAAGATGTCTCTTGGAATAACTTTATAAAAAATGTTGTTTTTTTTTTTTTTCCCTGAAGTAGTTAGTGAGGGGAATTAAACAAAGAGGAAAGAGTCAAAAGCATCAAAATTTTTAGGAGCAGGTTGTTACGGCTTCGTGAGGAATGCTTTAGGTGTTGCTTGTTGTACTATATGGACTGACCTAAGAACTGACAGATTTGCTGCAGATCTCTTAACTTTTCTGTTATGAAAGGGAGTTGATGACTGTTGTAGGTGATTGCTTCATTGTTGTTTTTTATGACTTAATCAACCAGAGTATCATGATGTCTTTGGGCTGTAACAGTGGCTCCACTCAACATGTTAGCTTTAAAGAGCTTTTGAGAATCAAAATTCATCCCTATGAATTTAAAAATGTAACTCTAATCATTCTGCTGAGCTGCAGTGTGTTGTGCTATGGAGAAAAAAAAAGAATGAGAGGGTATGCAAAAGTGGATAAAATAAAATTGAAAAATGGAATTAAGCGTGCTAAAAGAATTTTGCAACTGTATCTGAAGAAAAAATGAAAACTTATCAAAATGAAAAAGATAATGAGAAATATGAACCGTGATCTTTATTACTGGGTAAAAACACACTGCAAAAGAGGGAAATAAAGCCTACCAGCTAAATTCAGATCTGTAGGCCAGTGAGCTTGTATGAGTGCAGTATTATACATTTTTTGAGGCAGTATTTCTAAATTGGAACTGAAATGCCATGAAAAATTGTAGCCTGTGATCAGGAGTGAATATGTGAATATCTTTAATCCTGAATCAATAAAATCCTTAGAGTTAGTTTTAAAATGATACTCTTGCTTATAAAACCAATTTGAGTTTTTTTGACTAGAAGATAAGAATTAGTTTGCTTGCCTGCCTCTCTCACTCCCATCCCCTCATTATTTTTTTTTTTAAGCAGAAATTGTGCATTAATAGCTTTCTTAGTAGTCAGTATTGATTATTTTTTTCTCCACACCCTCAGGATAGCAGCAATGTGATAAGCCCCAAGAAAAACAGATCTTTTTTAAGGCTTTCGTATACTGCTAATGAATTAAATGCATGCATGTACCAAAAGGCATTTTAAAATATTTTGAAAGAGAGTAGTATTTTTCTAAAGCCTTGTTTAGAAGCTTTCTTTTAAAAGTGCTCTCTTTTTAAGGTTGGTTGATTAAACTGATTTGGAACAAAGAATTTAATTTTTCTAATCCATATTCTGCTGTTATTCTTGTATAAGAGCTTCCACCTAATGTGAGGGGTTTGCACAAAAACTCAAGAAAAAAATAAAATCACTGTGGGTGGGGAGGCTTTTTACACTTCACATTTGTGTTTTCTTAAAATCTCACATTTGTTCTGTTGCATTTTTAAATATTTTCTGTATAATAAAAGGCAGTGCAACAGCAGTGTAAACCAAAAACTTCTAAAAATGTTGCTTCTAATATTCTTTATTCCTTTGTAAAGGATTTTTTGTCTTGTATCTGAAACTCATGTCAAAAGAACATTCTTACTGAGAATTATTAGAAAAAAAAATTGAGAAGTTTTCCAGCAGTAAAACATGTGTGACCATCTTGAGCAAAAAAGCCAGTGATAGGAAGATAATTATAGGTGTTAAAACTATAGGTTTCTGCTGTGGTAGATTGCATTGTCAATGTTTTTTTTAACATACTTTGAATGTCAGCAAGATTGTGACTGCAGGCTCTTAAAAAAGAACAATACACAAAGGAAGTACTTGCTTGGATTTTGAGTGTATAGATTGTTTTGTTGTTGATGAGCAGTCCCTGTAAATCTGTACTTCTGCCTTGCAAATTTGAGGTTCAGGAACTCAAAGGTATGGGTTGATGAAAGTAACAGTTAAAAAAAAAAAAAATCAATGGCTCGATTAAAGTGAATCTTTTAAAGCCGGATGTCAACACACTAATTTTAAGAATCAGTCACAAAATTGCTTAAACTAAAAGGGACTGTTCTGTGACCATTGAATCTGATGCTCCTGCTCTGCCAGGTCAGCTAGAGCAGGTTGATCAGGACTGTGCAGTCGAGTTTTGAATGTGTATAAGGATGGAGACACTCCAACCTCTCTGGGACACCTGCACTGGTGTTTGACCACCCTCAAAGTATAAAAGTTAAGTATGTTCAGATGAAATTTCCTGTGTTTTAATTTTTGCCTGTTGCCATTAATCCTGTTAGTGAGCAGTGCTGAGAAGAATTTGGCTCCCTTGTCTTCATGCTGTCCCAGATTTTCAAAGGAGAATTAAAAAAAATTTAAAAAACAGGTTTGCAATACTGTCTGAATATATCTTAAAGAATATTTTGGATATATAGAGAATCGTTATAGACTAAAGTAACTTTTTCAGAATGGTTTGGGTTGGAAGACACCATAAAGATCATTTAGTTCAAACTCCTCTGCCATGGGCAGGGACTTCTTCCACTAGACCTGGTTGCTACAAGCCCTGTCCAACCTGGCCTTGAACACTGTCAGGAATGGGGCAACCACAACTTCTGTGGGCAACCTGTGCCAGTGTCTCACCACCCTGAGAGTAAAAATTTTTTTCTTAATATCTAATCTAATTTAATGTCATCTTAAACCAGTCCCCCTTATTCTGTCACTATGTGCCCTTGTGAAAAGTCCCTCTCCAGGTTTCTTGTCGGCCCCTTCAGGTACTGGAAGCTGCTCTAAGGTCTCCCCTAAGCCTTCTCTTCTTCAGGCTGAACAAGCTCAACTCTCTCAGCCTGTCTTCATAAGGAATGTAAACTTTCTTTGAATCTTTATGGTAAGAAATTGTATGTATTTCAAACCCACAGATATTTAGCTATAGAACCCTGTTGTTAATTAGAGGGAACACAGCTATACCTTTAGATAGTGATACTACCTAAACTGATTATAAAGCTTTAGAATCAGTAACTTTACCATCATCTAATCTATAAATTGTTTTAAGCAGGATCAAGTCCTACTGTAAGTTCCCACAGATGAAATGATTGGTGAAGAACTAATAATTTCTGAAGCCAGTGTGTCAAAAGCAGCAGTCTCACTTTAGCCAAATTATGAGAACAGTTGCTCAGGTTCTCTTAAGAGTTTTGCCTTTTTTTAGTTGCACTGCCTCCTCTATTTTTATTTTTTTTTTTTATGTTTTAATAAAATGCAACTTTTACCCAGCATTAAAAGTCAGTGCCATAACTGTGTTCATGTTTTTACTGAGTCAAGTGTCTGAAGGACTTCTGAGAGATTCTGAATTGTAAGTGGAGATTGTTTTACTACTGTAAAAGAGTACTCTGTTTAAAATACATGAAATAGTTTTAAAGTGGCATTTCTAAAAGTACGTTTTGAAAACTTTACTAAGTTTACTTCAGAGATAAACAGTAATCAGTTTTGCACTGCAAAAAAAACCTCAAGACATTTTAATTGGGAAAATAGATCATGTAACTCCATAGGATGGAATAAATTTTCCTGGTACTGCTGCTTTGCTATACTGCCTGTTCTTCTAAATGAGCATAAAAGTGCATTAACAGTTGTCTAAATTAGATCAGCCTTAAAAGTTGGAGGAGAAAAAAAGGAGGAATTAGTTGTCTTCATTTCATCTTTTTTTGCAACTCTTCATCTGCAGAGAAACCCTTTAATCAGAAGTGATACTGTAAGTTGAAAGAAAAGCGTTTCTGTTCGGCAGCTGTATGATTGTTACACTTGTGTTACAGGCAAGGGAGAAGATAGTGATGTCCTCAGCATTAATGCAGATGCATATGATAGTGACATAGAAGGCCCATGCAATGAAGAAGAAGGCCCAGATGTGCAAGAGAACACTGTCAGAAGTGGAGCCAGTCAGTTAGACGACCTTCAGAAGGACATTGAAAAAAGCGTGAATGAGATACTGGGGTTGGCAGAGTCCAGCTCAAAGGAGCCCAAAGCAGCAACCTTAGCCATTGCTCCATCAGATGTTCAGCCATCTGCACAGCAGCTGGAGCTTCTGGAGCTTGAGATGAGGGCCAGAGCTATTAAGGCTCTGATGAAAGCTGGTGATGTAAAGAAACAGCCCTGAGATTGTTTAGATTAAATTTTCAGTGTTTGTTTTGATGGATGTGATGTCTGTTATCCTCAGTGCTAACCTATGTTTGGGTTGAGTATGACATTCCTCATTCAAAACCTATTCTGTATCATGACCTGTGACTTCAGCTGCTGATAGTTGGCTTCATTGCCTTTAGTGTGCTGCTTCCATGATGTGCACAGACAGAGTAGTTTGATGCTTCACCGAGATCAGGTCTTTTTGTGTTGGGTTGTCTCCTCTAGGAGTCACAGAATATAGAGCTCTATATATATGTATATATACCAGGATCCTGCTGCCTTTCAGAAAGGTTAGGAAAATCAAGTTCTTTCTAACCCCATGGTTAGAAATTACCAGCTGTTTTGTTTATTAACAACTTGTTCAACTATTTGAGAAATTTGATTTATATGTACTTCGTTAAAAATAACATTTTTAAGGGGTCTTTCATTGTGTGACTGCCTTCAGCAGTCTGTAAAAGGATTTGAGATTACTTATTTCTCTTTGGCATCCACCTCATCATAACATAGGTATTTTGAAAAATGAATGATTATTTACTTAAAAGCATACTTAAATATTAGGAAGTTGAATTCCTGAAGGAAGGGATTTTTTTTTTTTTTCTTTTCAAATACACAGTTGAACCATGGTATTTTTAAAGTTATGAAAGTGCCTGAAAGTGACAAATAGTGGATTTTTATACTGTTTGTCATGTAATTTTGTCACTCTGCTGTTTATGTCCTGTGTCATAACTGAAATAAAGAAAATGAGGTTTTTTTTTCTTGACTGTGAAGCTTTTTTTGCTGTTTCATTTAATATTTAGGGCAACACAGCAAATCAGGCTATTTAGAAGACCTTGAGGTTTTTAACATTTAACTGATGTAGTTATGTCACCTGTAAATAGGAAAATCCACCAAACTTCAGTATATATGTTTTTTTAGAAAGGACATTTATTTTATAAGGTTTTTAAATTATTCCACTTTTATCCATTTCAAGGACATTTCTCTGTAAATTGTATTATAGGATTAATTTTCCTCCCATGATTTCTTACAATTAAGATAACTATGAATTTGTTTTGATTTAGTGCTGGTTTTATACTTGGCTGCTAATTAAACCCATCGAATCATAGCATGCAAGAATGGTTTGGCCTAGAAAGGACCTTAAAGATCATCTGGTTCCAACCAACCCGCTGTGGGCACTGGTTGGGTTCCTTCCACTTCCACTAGTCTGGGTTGCTCTAAGCCCAGTCCAGCCTGGCCTTGAACACTGCCAGAGTTGGAGCATTTACCACTTCTTTGGGCAACCTGTGCCAGTGCCTCACCACTCACAGTGAAGAATTTCTTCTTTATATCTAACCTAAATCTACCTTGTTTATGTTTGAACCCATTCCCCCTTTTCCTTTTAAAATATTTGTGTTTTGTTTTTATACACACACACACACAGATTGATTTTTATTTTTTTTTTCCCCTTAGGTATGAAGTTTGCGAATCTGGTCCTTGTTAAGTGAAACTGTTATATGTTGTTAGTTCTTATTTTCCCTTTGTTGTTACCTATAAAGTAAATTAGATACTTAGCAGCAGTACCATAGATAATTTCCACATGCTATTTTGTAATATTACTCCAGATGTTCTATGCAAATACTATGTCTTTTTAATTTCCTCCCTTTATTATCTTCCCTTTCCTTTTTTTTTCCTTTAACCTGCTTTCTACCATTTTCCTTTCTTTTTTGGTCATCAAGTGCAATGTCTTCAGCAGCAAGCTTATATATTTCCTAACGTCTTACTGAGTTCCTCCAGAATCAACACTATTGTGAGTACAATGATAGAAAAATAGTGCAGTGTAAGTTTGATTATAAACTAAAACCTGTATTAAATATAGCTGAGAATTACAGTGTTCATTTGCAAAATTATGGCAGTGACCTGAGTGAATTTCTCCTGACTATTCTGTTACCGATGGCAGAAACATTTTTTGTTTTTAGCAAATGGAGGATGTAAGTTAGAATATATATATCAAATTCCAAAGGTAACTTAACTGTGTGTACATGTTGTCTCTACTTAATTTAATTTGGCTGTTTGGTGAACTTGTGATTTATTAGATTACAGGGAAACAAAAGCAGGTAATGAGAGACAGCTGGCAAAACCTGATGTGCTGTCTTGTTATTTGTAGAGTCAGAGGCTAGTGGAACTATGTTTGACTGTAAAAAGTTTTACTGCTGCTATGCTTAGTTCCTTAAGGCAATGAACACTTCACTTTGCCTGCTATGGAAACAAAAAATCTCACCTCAAGGACATTTGTTTCCTAGTCCTACTGTGCAAACAGTAGGAAAACTTATCTCCTATTGTCTGCCTCTCTTCTTTCCTGTCAGTGTTCATTTGCCAGTTCTACAGTGTGCCATAGCATTGATGAGGCTTGCAAAATCCCAAGCAATAGGAACAAACAAAATTCAGTCCTTAATACTGAAGTAAAATGTGCAATACGGTAACAGTTGATAGAAAGAATAAATGTTTATAGACCTCTATCTTTCCTTTGCTGCTGGCACTCTCAACACTTGTGGTTTCATCAGCCACCAAGGTGATTTCCAACTGACTGCATACTGCTGTGTGGCTCACATGTATTTTTGCCAACCACGGAAGTGCAAAAGGTTACTTCATGCAGAAGCCATGCTTTGGTAAAGGTGTCGTAGGAAAGCTGGCTGCAAATCAGGTTTAATTAAAAATATGTTTCCTGTGCCACCAGAATAACTTAGTCAAATATACAAAGTCCCTTCAGGGATGTTGTAGAACCATTCATTTGGCATCAGGGAATACGGCTAGGAAGACTAGATAAACTAGAATGTAGTTCTCTTCCGCTGCCCACCTGCTGGAGGTATGTGTCATTTCTTTCTGAACTAAGCTTTGTTTACCTATTGGCTTTCCAGGTCACCTTTAAAAGTTCATTTTGTAGTATGCTGAACTCTCAAAGGTTATTATTTCAAGGTCTGTATCAAGAAGTTGTGTATGCTAACTTTAATAAGCACTGCGACAAAGAAGAAACAGGTTTGCTGTGCATCTGACAAAGAAGATTTGTAATTACAGCCTAATTAAATTTGAAATGAAAAGAGAAGGATTCAAAGAAAATGAAATTAAGCTGTTTACAAAAATAAAAAATATGATTGTGATTGATTACACAAGCGCTAATTCATTTGTAGGATATTGTATCATTGCTGCATAGGTTGAAAACAGCTCAGATAAATTATATGGGTTCCTGCACTGATTTGTGTTACTGCACAGTTAAAAAAATCCATTTATATGGATTACATATAAATTACATTAACACATAATATTTAAAATGTGTTAAACAATTTTTTTGTTGTTCACTTCTAAACATCTCTTTGATTTTTCCTGGAAAAATAAAATTAATTTTTCTTTTGAAGGAAGAGTCAATTTGTATGTAAAATGAAGTCATGAATTATTTATGAAATTTTAAAACAATTCTACGGGGTTTTGATCAACCACTTTGTTGGGAAAAAATATACACTTGGTGTTGGTCAGCATGAGGAAAAAGACCCTGATTATATTCTGGGCTGCAACAGAAATATATTCGAATGAATTTTGTCTGTCGTTATAGACGAAGCACAGTGCTTTTTTTTGAGGAGGAGAGTTGACTGTGCTTGTATTAGGTAAATGAAAAGGTGTAACTTCTCAGAGAGCCAAAAGTATCTATTATTTCTGTTCAGATGCTTTAATGTTATTTTTATGATGATTTGATGGAGAATAATAATTCAAGCGGCCACTTTTGAGAGGCAAATCACAGGCATTTCCTCGGTAAAGAATTAGTTCTGTTTGTAACACTATATGATTTTGCTCATGAGACTTGTGCTTTGCATAAGTTTTCTTAAGCTGTGTTACAAAATACATTATTTGCTGTTTAAAATTATTGTAATTATTAGTCACAGTGAATGATAATTTTGATCACTGACTTCAGGTTGCTTCTAAGTAGGTGCAGGCGTAGAGCATAGGGGATCAAATCATCTGTGTAGATATTTGAGATGCTGCAGTTCTCCCAGGATACTTTTGAAATGTGGCATTAAACATGAGCAGCATGGCTCTGTATTGTGAATCTCACCCACTGAGGCAGCTGGGTAGCATTCCTGCAGCCTTGTCTGTGTTTGCAGAAGCACAGTTTCACAAACAGCAGCCACAGTGCAGGGACCCTGTAAAGGGGCAATTATGTCTCTTCACCAGACGATTCCTTATGTGGTGGGGGCTTTAAAGATTGTAAATGGTTGCTTGGTTACTACTATTATTTTTAAAGTATTAGTCTACAAAAGCAGTTGTCTTTACTGAAGTTACTTCGTTTTCGTCTGTAGATAAAGCATGTCAAGGTTTTCCTAAAAAGTAGCAACCGATAAAAGGTTTTGTGCACACGAATGCATAGCAACTTGTTATATGTAGGGCATTTTAAATGCCCATCTTAAAATTGTTAGCAGTGATTTAGCTTTGTGAGATCACTGATGCTGGTAAACGTGCCCTTTTCACAGAAGATAATTGAAGATTAATTGTGAAATAGGCGTTTTAGCCAGGAAGGGGGATGAAGTGGTTAATTGATGCAGAAGTATAGAGAACAACAGTGTAACTTTAGGAGCGCAAGCACCAAATTAAAAGCTGATTATGAAGTCATCTAATTTAGTCCCAGCAATATAAACCTTCATGTTTATTGCTAAATCAATCTGCCATATACAGAGAGCAAACAATGTTTGTTCACTTTATTTATGGCCAAATTTAAGTGTTAAAAACCTGGATTTTTTTTCCCCAAGTCTCATGTTTCATGGGCATTAATATTAAAATATGTGAGCAGAATACATGAAAGCTGGATGAAAATCTTAATCTTGTAAAAAGACTTAACCCCACACTAGTTAATCAAACTGATTCTCAAAAGCCTAAATGTAAATACTGCATGGTTATTACATTGTACAGACTAAGTAGTCATCTCTGAAAAGAAAAAAAGAAAGTTCATTCAGTGCATCATTGCTTTCTTCAGCACCTTGGAAAATGTCATCTTTCCTGATGGGATCTGTCTTGATTATTGTCAGACTCAAAACTGAATTTTCAACTTTTGCATCAAATGGTTCTGCAAAGTTGATCGAGGTGGGTATCTTACACCATGAAATGTTGAATCTGTGATCTTCCATTCCATTTCCATTTTCTGACTTGGTTACAAAATACCAGTTTTATTTCCCTGGAATACTGTGTGCTCTGCGTGGCTATATCATAGGCAAATGTGTTGGGAGTGGAACAAATGCAGACAAAGTCTTGTAAGATCACCATAGGAACAGAGGCCAGGTTGGATGGAGTCTTGGGTGACAGGTCTGGTGTGGGGTGTCCCTGCCCCTGGCAGGGGGATTGGAACTGGATGATCCTAAGGTCATTTCCAACCCCAACTATTCTGTGGTTCTATGATTCTATGACATGAGATACGACTGGAAAAGCTGGTTTGGTATAAACATGTTGAAACTTGCCTGTAAAGACTGGCAGAAATAGAGTGCTGGGAAAGGCATTTAAGCTTGATACCAATACTGGCGGGCAGCTATGAATACATTTTGATTAGCTTACTTGTTTCTAGGCTGCCTCCTTTTCTGCTCCCTCCATACTACTGCTGTGAAGCTAGTGTTTATGTGGGTATGTAGACAGCCACAAGAAGAATCCCATCTGAGCAGGGAATCCTGGCCATTTGTTCCCCCCAACCTGGACCAGCATCCTGATTGAATTTGCTCTGTTAGCACAACAGAATAAGTACTGAAAATCC